AAAGCAGCGGAGCAGGGACAATGTTCCCACCGTCCCCATAATGGGCTCAACACCCATCTTCCAACCCGGTCCTCCGGGTCACAGCAAGCCTTGAATAAGCTTCCTTCCTAAAGCATCTGTGGGTTTCAGCCATGCGTCCACAGCATCAATGGGAATAGTGTTCCTCCCCCCACAATGGCCAAATCAACTGTGGGAGCACTTTCTCCTCCTCCTGCGCTCCTTTTATTCCCACCCTGCTCAGACCTTGCCGGGGCTGAACAGAGGAGGGTCGGGAGAGAAAAGGCACATGCCTTCACGTCCGCTCCGCATGCATACAAAGAGAAAAATCAAATTGCTCAGACATGCACGCATGCGCACACGCACGAATGAGCGCATGGCGGCGGACAACACACACTCTCACACACCTCATAGGGACAACAATGAGAATATGTGACAAAAGAAAAAAAAAAAGGAGGAGTTTGACACTAAGGAAAAACCCTGTGTTTATAAACCCTCCTTTAGAATTACCAATAGTGGAAACTACTGCTTGTTATTGATTAATATGTTTAATATTTTTTTACATATAAAATCAATCACTTCATAAAATGTCAGAAAACAGAGAAAATTGTACGTCATATGTTCCCAGAGCTGAAGGTGACATCTTGACATTTTATTTATCCAATTTATATAAAACAGAGAGAAGGTCCAATGATAAATTATAAATGATTTACCTAATTAATTTGTTCAAATAACCATCTCAAAGCCATTTTTTTGTTTAATAAAACAAAAAAACAACTTATTAGCTGGGGGTAAAAAAATATTCTGCAGATAATTTTTCTGCTTGACAAACAGCTTGTCCTCTGCCTTCACTAATTGCAGCAGCACAGTAATTACAACACAAAAAAACCAGGTGAAAACTATGATATGTTCCAGAGACAAATTGAGACTGTTGAGTTGCATCAAGCATTAATTAGCAGGGTTTCAGGCAGAGCTGCAGCAGAATCACATTTCAACGAAAGGCGAGGTTGTGTGTCAAGGAAGAGAAAGAGAGAGAGACCAGGTTACGAACAGGCAGACACTGCGGGCGAAGGCCACGCCAAGTGCACTCTGCATTTGGAAACAATGAGATCCTGGGAGGCTGAAGGGACCCAGACAGACATCGTGGAATTATTCATTTCCACCCACCGGCTCAGACTGCACCACACAGACCGCTGGCCTCTCTCTGCTGAAGGCGGATTCTCATCAGGGTGCTGCTGGAGTGAAGCAAAGTGTATCTGTCAAGCTGCAGTTTGTTGCTGCTGACAGTAAATTTGGCCACAGAACATTCACATTAGCTTATGAAAGAAGAAGAGCCTCAGCCACAATGTGCATGTTTCTGCACAAGTCTTCAAATAGAAAGATTTGCTGTCAACAGGACCTCAATCAGGCGTCAGAGAGCGTTCAACTGGAAAGTGGCAGCATTTATGTCACATTCAGGTGACACGGCAGCAGAGCTTTGTACTCAAAGTATAAAGACCACAGTGAATATTGCGGTGAAGGCTGTGCCGCCACAAGTCACAGTGCCTGAAGCTGTGATTTCAAACCTGGCATTGTATTTACATAACAGAGAGCAACAGTCTCCGTTTTCAGAAATATACAGAGAAGCATCTCTGCGCGTCTCTTCTCCGCCTCGAAACATCTTGAGGAAAACGCAGTATGTTTTCTGCTCTCGCTGCATGCACACAGCTTTGTTTTCCCTCAGTGTCCCCTGACCTAATTACCATGTGAATCCTGCTCAAGAAGGCCACTTTAAAAGTCTGAAATCTCTCTGCTTCACTCTCACATACCAGGCTCAGGCTTTGTGGGGAAAAAAAAAGGAGCAAAATCAAGACCAACAGTAGGCAGAGCACGTCTCAGCTGGCCACTCGCTGCCTCGCAGCATGGTCTTAGAGCATCCTTCCCGGGTTTTAAAGTGTGGAAATACATCTTTGTGTTGCCTGCGCTCATGTTAGGATTTTTTTTAAAGGAGCAGGAGGTTTTACTCTGCGAGTGTGGTTGATATGAGCTCAGTCAGATGTCCTGGAATTCGTATTTGACATGCAGTAAAAACAGAAATATCATAATATAATATTTTGGTGAAGTTTTCCTTTGAAATGAAAAAAACCAGTCTGTCAACACCAGGAAGGCGGATTATTTTTCCTTCAAACTTATTTTCTAGTTTTATAGACCAGCAGATATGTGAAGGGTGTGACCGCAGACCGGACTGAGACTTCTTGTTATCTGTATCCCTCCGTTATCTCTTTAGACAGACACACACTCCTGGAGGTCAGACTATCCTCCATTTCTTTCATAGAGAGGTAATATTGGTCAGAGGAGAGAGGACATATCAAGTTCTGCAGACATTAAACTTTTATACTCGTTTGTCCCCTCTCAAATGATGCCGACGACAGAAGTAATCCACGTGGCTCGGTTTCAATATGCATCATTAATAATCTGATGAAGTGGCTGTCAGCTCATCTACTCCACACCTATCATATTCGTTAATGAAAATGAATTATTCATGTCGACATCAGATGCCACGACGATAGGGACCCTTACGAACAGTATAATCAAAAACAAAACACTTTCACACAGTGTAACTACAAAGACATCAAGCAGAGAAAGAGAAACAGAGCGGAGGAGAAAGTGAACATAGAGGCGGTGTGAGAGGAGTTGGGGGTGGGGGAGTGAATCTCTTGTTTTGGATCTCCTTTGCTCTGCTGGACTAGACTGGTTCCCCCCCAGCCAGGACCTGTCAAGAGCTCTCATAAGTTCATCAAAGATGAAAACCTGTTTTCCATTTGAAAGGAGGGACCCACGATACTAAAAACTGCTCTTCAAACCACAAAAGCGTTAATCATCCATAAGACAAGCATGTGGGCCTGACAAAACCTGGGAGAATATATGAATATCAATCAAAAGATGGAGGGAGATATGAGACTTTCACATGTGCTGATTAATGAACGAAGTGAAAGCTAGAGCGGTGCCAACTGCTATTTTATATTCCTGAAGAAGAGAATTAAGTTGTTGAGATATGGATTAGGAATCTGTGCCACGTTATCCACTGAGAGGGAAATACTGAAGCAAACTAATACGCTCATATGAATCTTTATCCATGAGACCATCAATGAGAGTAACCAAATCATCAGAGCCACAGTATTTGTCTGTCTACGTTTTTACAAAAGCAGAATAGCAACACAAACGTGTTATTTCATCCGATACGTTTCCCCAAAACTCAAAACAGCCATCCTCCGTTATATTTGAGAGCCATTTGTATGTTGATGAATAATACAGTGTTCTTCATTGACCCCGCTGAAAAGAACGACTGAGGCCCAATTTAAAAAACAAGTTTGAGATGAAAAATAGCACTAGTTATTGATGAACAGAGCTTTCATCAAGTGAATAAATGTGATGAATTTAACCGAACCATGTTATATTTGAAAATTACAGTTTTATGTACAAATCATCTCTGAGAGCTGTTCCCAGTAACCTGGCTTCAAACGAAAGCGTTGTTGAAAAGTGCTTGACATTTAATCACCAGAAGCAAAGAGAGAAAAAATTGTAAGAGCAATAATCCATTAAAGCGGTGTCCCTAGATGTTGTAATTTGTCCAGGCTTGGATGAGTGCTGCACCTTTTGCTCCAGCGCACAAACAATCTGGTCTGCAAATGTGTGTGTGTGTGTGTGTGTGCCAATTTGTGGAGATAGTCCAACCTTCACCTGGCAAGGTGTTTACCACAGCTGTAGAGTGCTGCTCAACACTGCCCTCTGTTGCTCTGCAGCATCACAGCCCACCACCAGCACCACCTGCTCCAACAAAGCTCCTCAGAACAATCATCTTAAAGGCAGGAAAGAGGAACAATGTCCCACTTTATTTTATACTGCTGCATTTCTTTGTATCCACATCCCTCAGTTTCTGCTGGACACTTATCCCTCTCTTGAATTAAAAATGAAACAGCGTCTGCACGAGGCGGTGGGGGAGAGACATGGAGAAGCAATTCATCCCAGTGACAAGCTCATGAATAATGACTTTCTGAGCTGGGTTTTGGCTGTTTTCACGCGGAATTAGTCGCAGCAGTGTTCGCTGGGAGCTGCGCAGAATAAGAGGCTGTCTGAATGCGTGAATGTTGTGCGTAAAAAGCTGCTCGTCGCGCGCGTAAAGAAGCCTGTTAATGTGGAATTAATAAGGGATGAGGTCATTGTTGGCGGTGTTGAGCCAGTCAGCGAAGTTCACCAGCACCGAGATGAGAGAGGGGACAACACGGTGAACAGTTTGACATCACATGTTCTGGGGATAAATTAGATTAACACGTTTTTAAAACAGTCGATTTGCGTTTTCAAACGCACGATTGAAACAGTTAATCTTCATTTTAAGTGTATCTTTAAAGTTTAAACGTGAATATCATTAAGGAATACACAGGTCAGCGAGCAGCACAAAGTTAGTTTGTGACGGTGCTAATGTGGCAGGAACAGGCAGCTCAGCAGACCCACAAATGCTCCTCTGATCCTGGGATGAAACGTGAGTGGAAAGTAAAACTGGCCGTGGCATAAAGAACCCAACTGCTCCGACAAACACACGCTGCATCCACGGACACACCAGCTCACCAGAGCCAGACAAAGTGGACGAAAAGACAATAAAGTGTTTGAGATTTAGACTGAAAACGGTCATGTTACTCAAACACAGCTCAGAGGAAAAACGGACCCCACGGCATGGCTGAAATAATAAAGCTCCAGGGAAGCCAATCCATTAGTGATGGAGGGTGTTTTTTTTTAATCTAAGCAGGTTACTCAACATGATAACTATGGATTTTATCTCCACTATATAAAAAACCACAGGATCTCAATCCAAACTCAAACAACATCGATTTCGCCTCTAAACGCGAATTAGAAGCGATATTCAGGCTGAAAACTGGTGCGTAACACACCTAAAAAAAAGTGCTTTGTATCTGCATTTCAGGGATTTTACCCACGAAAAGAAGGAGAAAAGTGATATTTCCTTTTACCTTGGATGATGTTTGTATTCCTCAAGTTGGTGACAAAGCAAGGTGGAGACGAGGACAGAGCCAGACTAGTGAGAGACAGGGGTCTAGTGTTGTGTTCCTCAGCCGCTGTGCGCGTCCCTCTCCGGGCGACCTGCAGCCAAACACTGCGCTCTCTCTCTCTCTCTGCCTCTCTGCTGGATGGTCGGACTATACCACACGGCTGAGGAGGGGGACGGCAGGGAGGGGGGGAGAGAGGAGTGAGGTAGCAGGGGTGGGAGAGAGGAGAAGGAGGAGCAGGATGTGTCTGGGGCTGACTCGCAGCGTGGACCTGAGGGACAGACACCGGGGCTTCTTGGAAAGATTTGCCCCACATGTTGTTGTGTTGTCTGGGACTCAACAGCACCTGATGTGTGAGGGGTAACCTGGCAATGTAACTCCAATGGGTTTATATTTTTTTTCTCTGCTTTCCTGGTTTGTCCAAAGAAAACAATGTAACTCAGACAGTTCACACATGAAGTGCATCTCCGGGTCAAAGTCATGCATTGTTTGAGCATGTTTTTAGCATGTTTTTAGCATGTTTCTTAGTGTGTTGTTTGTCCCTGCTTGTATTTATGTTGATATTTTTTTATATATATTTATAAGAGTGTAAATGATGAGAAAAGCTTACAAATGCCACTAAAAAAGCAGCTGCAGGTTTTTCAAATGGCACAACACTTCTCTTCTATTGGATATTAGTAGTAGGAGATCCTGGTGTTTTGTACTTTATCCTTTTTATATCCTTTGGTTGAGGTTTTTATATAAGCCATCACTGGTTTCTACCACAGCCGACACATACTTTTAGATTTCATTTTTGTTGTGTGAAATAAAACTAAAGATAAACTTTAGGTTTTTGATCCCACGCTGGGGAAATTCAAATACAAGCAGTAGCAGATAGTCCAAAAACAAAATAGGGAAAGAGTGAAAGTATGAAATAGACTGAATATATAGGCAATAAAGATAAAATGAAATACATAAAATATTTGTACACCTTTCAGAGATGGAATATAAGGTTTTTAGAAAAGTACTTGGGGTAAAGTCTAGTGCTTGTCCTTACCCATAGTGAAAGGTGTATATCATAAAAAAACTTTATAAACTAAATGATCAATTCAAACCTTGAACTGAACAAATGTTTTATTTATTTCTACCTCATTGACAGGCTACTACTAATAATTACAGTGAATAGTCTATACACTCTATTATATTACATTTCCTTTTTCAAATACAAACCTTTTATTGTGGCTTTATTTGCATCTATACACGGGGGAATCTGGTAGGTCATAACATTTCATTGATGGTTTATATTTTTGTTTTAATACTTTAAAATATATATATATTTATGCATTTGCTTTATATTGGCCCACTGGCCCGGGGGCCCCTGCATGAATCAAATGCTGAGGGGAACATTTTACTGCCATAATCAAAGCAAGTATTCCAAAGGAACCTAAAAGTAATTGATGAAGAGCTAATTAAGAGCCATTCAATCAAAAGCCAATTTGCTAATTACCCTGTGGTGTAATTAATTGTGTGCATTACGCTGATAGAACAGAACCATGTAGACAACAGTGCTGACACTTAGCACCCTGATAGCATGAAGGAGGAGGGGGGAGGAGGGGGGGAGGCAGGTGTAACAGCCAACCCCTTTCCCGGTAAATTCCTCTTCCCTGCACTACATTTCCCAGAGTGCCCTGCGCGGTACGAGGGAATCCGACTGCGCCTGCGTATCCAGACGTGGCAACGGCATCATGGCCTCTTGGACCCGCTGCGGGAGTCGGATGAAGGAGGCGAGAATGTTCACGCTGGTCCTGCTGGTGAGTGACGGTCTCTCCCCCCCGCGTGTGTCGTGTAAAGTCGCAGCCGGCTCTCGGCGACAGTCCCTCCCGGTGCGGAGGGTGTGTGTGTCCGGGTTAGAGAGCCACAGGAGTGCGTGGAGCAGGGAGTGGAAGCGCCGCGGCTCCTTCCATAGTCTCCCTCCCCGCGCTGGAGGTGAAGTTGACAGCCCTGGTTTGAACTTACGGTTTCGGGCACAACCAGTTGCTCGTACCGTGAGTGCACAGCGGGCATATCTGCAGGGTTCACCCGTGTGAGGGCTCGCTCGGAGCGGCGGGTGCTCCGTTCGTCGGGTCGCCTGTGCACGGGGGCTCCCTCCCCCGTGTCTGAGCCGTGGTTAACCGTGGAGTGCAGGCGGTCAACACGGGAGAACCAGACCCGACGAACCGACTCACCTTTACCCGGAAAGACCCAGTTACTCCCTTCGTGTTTTCTAACAGATTGTTAAGCTTTTAGTTTGGAAGCTGTTGTTGTTATTAACTCAGGACCCAGAAACTCACGTGTTCACACAAGTGTCTGTAAAAGGGATTGAAAGGGGAAAAGTTTGTGACTTGAGTGAAAGCAATGGAAACTGTAGTGTCCTCAGGAAGAACTGCAGATAGACAGACAGATAGATAGATAGATAGATAGATAGATAAATACTTTATTGATCCAGAGGGAAATGTAGTCAAACCTCTCCTAGGTGTTATGTCAACTGGTGTTAGGACATTAATTGTCCATATTTATGTATAAAAATGATGTTTTAAAAACTTTTGATTTACTTAATTCAAGCTCTCTGTATATCTTATTTATTCTCAGCTATAACCATGAACACATCTGGTGTGTTGATTAGTGACGCAGGCATGTTCCTGCTCCACATCCTGATGCCTGTAGTGTTGGCAAACATGGGTGGTGCTCTGGTGTTTACCCACAGTTGACTTCATTTGCATTCGGACAGTGCTACTGTTTGATTTTGGCACTGCTCATTGCATCCGCAATAAAACTCTGATTATGAGGTAAAGTGTGCACACTCTGAGCTTTAATGTTAACGGTGTTTACATGCACAGCAGACAGTGTAGGATGTGTAATCCCCTTTATTTGATTGTTAATCCTTCACAGTTAATGGCTGTGTCTCCAACCCACGCTCGGTTGCCTTGTTTATAAGTTCAGGTTCATTGCTTTGCTGCATTGTCATAAAATTAGAAGAGAGTTTGCACAAAGGGTTCTTCACTGTTCACTGGTTATGTTCACCTAAATGAAGGTTTGCAGATGGTGTTTGTCCTCATAGTCAAAACGAATGTGTTGGACTACGAAGACCAAACAAAAGGTTATTTGTCTCTGTCGTAATACATGATGGATGCACAGTATGTGTCTTGTGAAAATGTTCTCATATGTAGATCTTAATAATTCACTTCTTAACAGAAAGTCACAACTACTAGTCAAACTATTGTTTTTAGGGAGTAAATATCTGGTTTAATTAGGTAACAGAACTGACTCATCTTTCAATGTCAACTCTCTTGACACAACACTTTTCTCATTTCCCGTGGACACATTTTAGTCAAATTAGTGTTTCAGTATCAGTATTATCCCACAACAGCTTGATAATGTGTTCGGAGACTCTGCCTCCAGCCTGACTTCCATGACTGATAGCTGAAATGTGATAGTCGCTAAAGCTGCTAATTGATTGCTCCTTTGCTCATTTGAGCGCTAAGGAGCCTCTAAATCAGCGCCCTGTGTGTGTTATCTGATGCCGCGTAGCTTCCTTTACAATCAGCCAGTCCACACACACCGACACACAGCTGACTGGCTCATTAGTCAGAGGAAACTCAAGGCAAGTGCTTGACAAACACTGGTGATATTTGTGCTGATTCAGTACTGCCCCTAGAACTCGATGCCATTTATTAAGCAGATTTGTCACAGCAGATGGAGGGTGTGGGCTCCCGGGCAGGGGCTGGGCACCTGCTGCTTAGTAAGCGCCACATTTTTTAACAGTAATGTGACAGGAGTTAGTTTTATGGCTGATAAAAGTATGTCCTGTCGATGTTTAAAGCACCAATGGATTTCTTCAGAGCATTGTGTCTGGGATTTTTGAGTCTGGGAGCAATCACAAAATGCCAGTTTAGCATTGTTATCACGTGCAAAGGTTTTGGTTTGAGTAATGATGAAAGAGATTCAGGTAGATTAGCATTATGAGAATGGATTTTGTTGAGCAGTAACATTTTGTATGTCAGTTGACATTTTAGCCGTAGTCTGATTGTGCTCTTTTGGCATTTGAATGGAGCTCAGGCTTTGGGCATTGTTGCGACACTGTGTACTTGTCAGTGTCACCTACTTTCCTCTGGCCTTTATTATTTGGACCATGACAAATATATTAGCATCGGCTGGTTGATATCGGCTCATCATAGAGATTTTAGGCTACATCCATGCTAGTACATTTTAGTCTTAAAACAGCACTTTAAAATGGAAACAATCGCCTTCTCAGCAAATATTTGAGCTCTGAGGTAATCTCCTTCCGTACGGACACACCTTTAAAAGAATCACATGCATGTATGCTAGGCATGTGTGTGACAAGGAAGCAGGCTGTCTTACCCCTGCAGACAATACTGAGAACACGAAACAGCAATAGTGAAAAATAAAACAGGGAAGTGGAACTGGGCGAATTGAGAAATTGTTTATAATTCACTGTGGATATTTCAGCCATGAGAATTAATCAGGAAGTGAACGCAGGTGCATGCGTCATCATTTCAAAATGTCTCCATTTCTACCCGTCCAGACTTAAACCTCCTGGAGTTTTCAAACTAAAACTTGGTCACCTGCTTATTCAAGTTCCACAGTTGTAGGAGCTTTCAGGTTGTTTTTTTTTAAAGTGATATTTTAAAAGATTGTTGAACATCAAGCATATCTTCTAGTTTGTTCAATTTTGCCATTAAACCGAATTGATAAAGACGTAGAATAATTTCTCTTAAATCAAATCACCATGTTGAATGATTGAATGATTGCTCCTGAGACAGCAGTTCAGTTTCCTCTTTCTGCTTTATTCCCCTTTCTAATTTTAACCCACTACCTGGGTAACTGTGTGGAAAATGTGTTTGCGCGTGTTTCACCAAATCATGCTGCTCTGCTTGGGTCTCATCTCCATTGATCTGCTTGACTCTGACGAGGCTGTCTCCCTGCAGGGCGTTGAGGAGGCAGTGATAATGGGGGAAGACAGTGTTGGGAAGGGACAAATGCAGCACCATTATAGAGCCTCTCTGTTGGGCTACATGCCTCAGTGATTGTTTGTTGTTTGTGGGGTTTCTCAGTATCAGTCACCTGCCAGCAGAGACAAGGGAGGATGTCAATGACTTAGATGTGTTGTCCTCAAGCCAACTGATCTAAGCGGCTAACAAATTAAAACCTGTAAACCGCAGTTCATCTCACTAAACCATATTGAGTTCAGGAAATCACTTTGGGCTCTGTAAAATACATTATTTTTATAAGCTAAACAACAATTTGAGAAAACGATGAATGCCTGAGGACACAAACCTCTCTTTTTTTTCCTTGAATCCATAGAAGTATTATCCCTGGCTACCACTTGGCTTTTAAATACACCTCATCTCCAGATTGTGTCTAGAGTTTTAACTTGATCTCATTCATATGTATCTGATTCAATCGCTCTGACCAGCTCATATCACATCCTTGGATGCGATAATACATTTGATTGGTCTTGTGATCACTCCATCTTGGTTGTCTTGAATAAAGTCCTGAGGACGGGTTCATCTACTGCTGCCTTGCTGGTTTGGACCAATCCTACATGATTATGTATTTTCAGCCCATGTAGTTACATGTTTGTTTTCCAATCCTAATGTGTCCCTGGATCAGCTCCAGACGTGTTTTGCCCAATCGGATCTAATGTCAATGTGTCAGATGCATGTGGTCAAGCTGAATACCATCCAATCAGCCTGAACACATTTTAATACCAGGTGTAAACAGGGTGAAAGACATAAGACTGTTTCATCAGCTTTCTGAGGAATAGACCAATTCAGGGATGTGCAAATGTGTTCTTGTCCTGAATCTACCGTGCACCAAGCATTCCCATTTGATCTATTGTGCAGGTTTCATTAATTCAAAGAGCTTTTAGTGAAACAAAATACATTGAGGCCACAGAGCTGCAACCTATAAACAGCACTAAACTTTCCTTAAAGCGGTGCCACTTTCTTTAAAAGATCAAATCAATTTCATTTTGTTTAATTTATTCAAATTTCACACCTTTTTAAACTTTTAAACTTTCCTCCCTTCCTTCGAGAGGAAAGTGCCAAAACACCAGTGTGATGAAACTGCATTGTGAACTGAACTATTGAGAGATGACAACGCAAGACTTTTGATTAAGACTGCTGTGATCTGACAAAAATAGAGTTGTGTGCTGTAGTTTATCACTGCTTGCATTTGTCATTTGCACTTCTAGTTACAGAAATGCGCCAATTATTGTAGAAGCAGCCCACGAAAGGAAGAGAGCACCAGCACTCAACAGATAATTCAGACACCATGAAAATGCATTGGATTCTCATCACAGCAACCTTTATTATCAGTTAAATGTTTTTTCTTGCACCCTTCACATTATGGAACTGCATAACACTGCTCTGCTGCATTCATGTTTTCTATTTTACTGTGGCTGCCTGTGCATCATTGTAATAAAACTGCAGCTTAAATAGTCAGCAGTGCAGTAATGCTGCTTCTGGACGTGCTTGTCTCTTACAATGCATTGTGGGGGAAACTGTCAGCAGAGTAATTATTTCTGTTACTGTACATCTGATTCAGAAAGACGGCGTAAAAATACTTTCATTATTTCACGAATATCATCATTGTTGCTTTAACAGCATCATTCTCAGCTGCCTCAACTGTAGGTCTAGGTATGTCTCCATGTTAGTGGATGGGACATGAAATACACAGTTTCTCAACGATGGTTGCTTTAGGTAGTTCTTATCACACTGATGTAAATGGTCTGTATTTATACAGCATCTTTCTACTCTTGATGAACACTCAAAGCACTTTACGGCACAGTTTTCATTCACACATTCACAAACACAGCAGTGCACTGCAGCTCGGTTATTTTTCAACGTTTGGTTTTAATCCATTTTCGATGAACGTCATCATTGGGCGAAGATGGCAGCATCTGTATCCTGGATATTTTGTTCTGGATAGTGGGAAAAGGTGGAGATGCTTCATCTGTCTTTTTTTATAGTCTGGTGTCAGTCTGTCGTTTGCTGGATATGACATTTCATGCTACTACTTGGTATTGAGTAATTATCCGCAGCTAGTTTCAGATTCCTACTGTGCACAGTCCATGTTTGACTTTTTACACCAGTATTGACGTGTTACAGCAGGAAAAGTACGGCAGGTGTGAAGAATCAAAGGAGTCAGAGGCAGTCTTGAATAGAACAGAGGCGTTGTTAATGTTATGAGGAACACCTGGGTCTCTCCCTCTGTGACAACTCAAAGTGTCTGCTGTGAAAAAGACCTATCATCTCCCAACAGGCAGGATTTGGGCTAAAACAGCAATTTACAATGTAAATCACCATTTTTACAAACTCTCTTCAATCATTGTAAAATGTAGAACCATTGCAGGTGATGGCAGCTGTATGCATGACAGATAAAGTCATTATGGAGCCAAAGCCACAAAAATGTTGAAATATCTATATGTTGCACTACAAGATTAATACACAGCATAATACATATTTGCCACTTTAGCTTGTCATAATTTGTAAAGACAATAAATGTTTCACCACTTGGTGAGAGAGTGATTAAGAAAGGATGCTGTTCAGTTCTCATCAACTTAATGAGTCTAGTAGTCCATTATGTATCACTGTACGACAGCCTGCCATCTACTTTCAGCTCTGCTTCATTTTGCCTCCGGCTCCTCGCTCCCATATCCCTGATTGCTCACCTATGCAGACGACTGTCATCTTGCCAGCTTCTTATTAGCTCTACCTTCGTAATGCAGCTCCCATGAGTCCTAAACCAAATCCTGACACATCTTGTTTCATTGTCACGTAAACCTAATCACAATCATGTACTGAATACAAGTGACAGTGTAAACACACATACCAATAATACTTTGATTTACTTTTAGATTCATTTACATACAGACAAGTACTTTGGTTGTCTGTTCATTCTTTTCTAAACCCTCTGGTTTTTCTTGTATGATCTCGTAATACACTGATGTGCAGCGGGTAGTGTTTTAAGATTTCCATCAGATGCGCCTCAGAAGAGCAGCCACTTGGGAATTAAAATGAGAAAATGAGCCCGACAGGTGTTTGTTTTCATTCCATGTGATATCACTCATCAAGCAGGATCTGCTGAGCGAGCAGACAATGTTTGGTGTCTAATTTAGTTCTCTGTAGGCAGAAAGGAAAAGCTTTTTAATCAATGCTGATGGCACAGAGACGATTAGAATCCGTGGAATTAACTTCATGTTGCTGGAGTGTAATCGGCCTTTTTTCCCCTCCTCTGTCGTCTTTGATTAAAGTGCAAGCCTCTCGATACAGGCTTTGTTCCCTATATTGGGTGTTTTGCACCATTTGTACAACTACCAGTGTTTGCAAAGTCAACTGAGCCAGGGTGATATTGGAAACAATATCCTATCTTGTTTGTTGCACTGCAGGTAAAAAGAGATAACTTTTGAGTTCAGTGTAACTGTCAAGTTAGAACTGTTGATTTAGTTTACGGGCAGTTAGAAACAGCAGTAATGGACGACTGTAGTGGTATGAAATGAGATCAAACCCACTTTCTAAACTTTAAATGATGTGTTAATTTGCTCCTTGGCTAATATGAGATAATCATTCATCTAATAGCAGCATAGCAATAGATCAAGCAGAACACTGGAGATGCACTCGCATTACCTGATTGAATCAGCTGCTACTCCGGCTCATTCATCTATTGCTTGGCTGCCAACTTGGTAATAACATCCAATCTTGTTTATAGAGGCGAACAGCTTGTCCGTTATAATCTGAATCATTTCTACTACTCTGTGAGTTGACTAATATGAGGGCACACACCCACTCTCTCGTTCTCTTTGGCAAGTTAGCTTTTCTATTTTGGATGTTGTATTTCAATTTCTCATTTGTTGTATCTATAATTAATGTATGGTTTGACGTACTTTTTAATTCTTACTGTCTTACACAAGGCTTGGAGAGGTTTAGATTTCTCTGTAAGTCCTGTAAGATTGTTTTCTTTGTTTATGTGGCCCTTGAAAAAAAGAATTAAATAAAAAAAATCTGTTAGCTTTTCAAAGATTGGTGCTTTTATTTTACAGAATAAAGACTTGCATTCATGTTTACATTTTACATAAAACATGTTTAGTTTTCTTTATTTACAAAAAAAACCTCATCGGTCACGCCCCGGTAAATAGAAGCAGGTCAGCCTCTGAAGAGCTTGAATGAAGAGTGAATTTCATGGCGACCCTTGTTTATTTCACCAGGTGTGGCTGCTGTCGGTGCTGGAGGCGGTGAAGGTGTCTCCACTCATAGAGAAGGTCAGCGACCACAAAGACTTCAAGAAGCTCCTCAGGACGAGAACCAACGTTCTGGTGCTCTACACAAAGACAGGTAGGTCATTGGGATTTATTCTGTCTGTAGATTCAGTCACAGTATACTCCTGGTTAAAGTGGATGATAAGAGTAACACAACATTTGTGCCATTAAAGGTTCAGAGTGTAGAATTGAGTGACATCTAGTGGTGAAGTTTCATGTTGCAGCTGAACACCCCTCACCTCCCCCTCCCCCTCCAAACATGACAGAGAACCTGTGGCAGCTTCAGTTGTCATAAAAACTCAAAAGGTTTAGTTTGTCCAGTCTGAGCTACTGTAAAAAAAAACTCAGTAGAGAGGACCAGCTCCTGATGTAAATATAAAGTATTTAAATATGAAGGGCCCTTCAAGGGTAAAGAAAACAACAGTTAATACAATTTAGATAAAATACACTAGTGAAAACATCTCTAGGATTATTTTATATTTGGTTTCTGCCAATACATCCCTTTTACATAAATCTTACACACTGGACCTTTAAGTGGTGTAATTTACTGCCACTACATATGGCAAAATACATTTCTTGTTAAGAATCCATTGTTTGTGTCAAGGGAGGAGACGGGGAACGCAGTCTGCCAGACAATTATAGTAATGGATCATGAAAAATGCTTTCTTATCTGAAAGACACTGAGGTCATTGTGAAGTGCTGGAAAGCTGAATAATATGTGGTGTTTAATCAAATGACAGGAGTGTTTCAGAGACATTATGTTTGCTGGAAAAATACGCCATTTATCTATGTTTTAATTAGTCATTTTACTGTCAAATTTTAATTTATAATAGAGCAAGGTGCTGACATCATTATGTACTTGTACCAGTGCTTAACTGACAGACAATTATAATCAGAAAAAGGACGAGGGGAAATCGGATTGTTGCAGCAGTCACCAATACATTGACCAGTTGTGTGTGAAAGACTCACACAGTTGCTTCCCACAATGTAAGAAAATAAATAATTTATGACAAGAGGAGTATGTAATGACGACTGAAACCTTTTGACATAATAAACATCCTCATTTAGTGAAACTATCAATTTACAGATGTAAGATGCCATGTAAATGCCATTTCCTTCAAATGTCTCAGAGTTGGTCATTATGAATGATTAAAACCGTATAATAATTAAAATTAATTTGATTGCTCAGTAATAAGAGTGGAACAGTGGCACTTTGCCCAAATCTGATATAATTAATTAAAAAACATTGAACACAGTAGCTTTAAAATACATTCTACAATAATGCTCTGTGCCCCTTTAGCCCACGGGCTGCTTTGTAGTGATGATCACAGTAGTCTGTCTCAGTAATGAACTGGGAAGTATTTATAGTAAAATGTAGAATTAGAGATTAGCTGCTAAATAGAAACTAAAGCACTTTATGCATAAACCGGAGTTATAAAAATCTTGTTTTCATCCGTTCGTGAGGGAACCCGCTAATGTACCCCAGTTGATTTTAATTCCATTTTCATTTCATTTGCATCTTCCTTCAAATGTACTCAGCAGGCTTGTTGAAGGATCTGCTTGATATTACAAAATTAAATTTCCGCATTCAAAATGATCCTCCTAACCTTTAATAAGCAGCAAACGACTCCCAGAACCCCACAGCAACGTGTTTATTCGTTTCATAATTCATGTTCCATATCGGTCAGCCTTAGGTCACTGGAGAAAGCTTCAATGTACTGAGCAGTAATTCTGATTTATCACTGACTACAGCCATTCGTTCTTTAAAGACACCAAAGATTCAGCTCCTTCTGCCACGCTGGTTAAACTTCACCCCCAACAAATATCTGGCAGCTTCCAGCCGCATCTCATTCATTGTCTGTCATGAGTTGAGACAGTCTCGCTCTGGCGACCAAACAATAAAAAGAATTATGCCAATGTAAATGCGTCACCGTTCACCTAACGCTCCGGAGAGCCTATTGTTGTGACCTGACCGGACATTCTCCTGCCACATTCTTCAGAAAGGCAAAGTCCTGAGAAAATCTGCACTCAATTGTTCCGACAATCTCCTGAGTTGATATTTCCCAGCCCTGTTTGCCCTGTCCCTCACCCATCAACAGGCTCTGACCCTGTCAGTCACCTCACTGTGGAGTTTCCTCGTGATATTTCCCATCAAACCTTGAGAACGGCTCGATTAGAAAATCTACCAGCTAGTTCCTGCTCACCTCCTGCTCGATGATAAAGTGACACTTAATTGCCAAATGTTTGTTTTTTTCTGACCTGGTGCACGGCAGGACCCTGGGGAGACATGGCACTGCCCCTTATCCTAATATAGCCTCAGCTGGAGCACCGAGAGGACTCTTCGTGCAGTTCATAAAACACATTTGGTTTCAGTGGGGGAGAATAAAAATGATTAATTGTGTTACACAAGGACCAGAATATTACACCGTGTTTACTTTACTTGCAGTATCTGATCAAAGTCCGTAATATTACTGTGAGTTGTTGTTGTAGCAGATATAGTTTATCACACACCACTTTGTCGTCTTTCCCTAACGCAGAAAGCAAACTGCATAGCTCGGCCAAGTTTTCTCTCCGACAAGGTGAATGGTGCAAATCCTCAGTGGTCGTGAACTCTCCACATCGTCCTTGACGGAGCTCGATGTTCCTCACGCTTCACAATGTGGTACCAAGCAGCAGGCAGCAGATTCGAAGCTATAGTTCGCCAAAATGTACCGTCTGTGCTTCACCCCCTTTAGCTGGAAAGTTGGTGTGCTTCGGCGGTGGCAGAGAATATAATCCTCCCATCCCCTGCTTAGTCACACTATTGTGAGATGTTGAAAGCTGATGTAACTTAACCCCCCTCCCTGAACCCATCCAGTGAAAGGTATTAGAAAACTCTCTTCCCTCACCCCCGCTCACCCACACGCAGCGATCTCTTTCTTCATCACTCGGAGCTTTAGTCAGACACTGAGCTCCACTGAAACTCAAATCCACATCTCTGTATTTGACATGACAGTGTCCTCTGTGTCTCCAGGCTGTGGGCTGTCCTGAGCTATTGAAAAGTCCTGGTAACAAGTCTGATCACAGTTTTTTTTCTCTGTGTCTGCAGCTACATCAGGGGACTCCCACCTGAAGCTGCTGTCAGATGTGGCCCAGACTGTAAAAGGCCAAGGGACCATTGCCTGGGTCAACTGTGGGTAAGTAAAGAGATCATTTAAAAAGAAAAAAGTTTTTCGCTCCATCATACCCATTGACTCCTTACCTTTTTCAAGATTACCGACTCTTTTGTACAAGGAATTCTCTGACAGTCGTTATAAAGACAGAGCAATTTGCTCCTCCCGAGAATGTCTGTGCCGCAATCCATCTCCATAACTGATGTCTTTTCCAGTAGGCTGTAAATGGCCTTGTTCCACTGTTTCTATTGCACAGGGCAATTTGACAAGAGGCCGTTATTGGAGTCATTGAAGCGTTGGGGCTTCACATTCTAATACATTTCTGTTCTCCCTGGATTAGTTTGTTTCATTCTGAAATGGTAAATAAAGGAGAACTTGGGTGCTGAGTGTTTTTCCTGTCGTGTACATGAATGATGTTTCATTAGTATTTCTGAAAAATATAAGTGTTTTACTACAAAAAGCATTTCTTCATCAACACCAGGAAAAGACCATCTAATTCAGTTTTTTCAGATAGATGATATAGGTACTTGACATGATAGCAGAGAAGATCGGTGAGATTTTTTCAAGCAGAAATAACAATCTCAAGTTCAACCATCTAAACTATAGGACATTAGTTTGGTTTCATTGTTTAATGTGAAAATTGATAAAACAAGACATTTGAAGATGTCACCTTGAACTTGAACTGTTACTTAGTGTATAATTGAGTGGAATCTTGACAAGCTTCAGCCCTTCTTGTCACAGTACTTGACTATCAGTGTTATATATATATATATATATATATATATATATATATATATATATATATATATATAAATACCTCGCTGAAGCAGGTTTGCCTGAATATTTTGTGTTTCAAGTTGTTGCTCAGACAAAACGAGCAATTTCATGTATTTAAAATTATAATATCATATATATTTCAAATAGTTTATATTTAAAAAATGACCTATTAAAGGGATTCAACAGAAATAAGATTCATAATAGCTATATTATGGAAGTTATTTGTTCTCACACGACTCCATGTACTATTTTCCATACAGCACATCTGTCATGTGTCTCTGTGGAGCAGATCTATCTTCAGCCCACACTGCAAATGTGCTTACATTAAGCAAACATTGCTTAACATTAGATACTTCCAAGATACCAGCACTGTTTTCTCTAAGCTCAGCTTCCTTTGCTCCCCTGTGATCTGATTTTGGCTTGTTGTTCTTTCTGCCTTTTCCTGGTGTTTAGTTCTACTTACTTTCATACCTGTCAACCCATCAACTGCACGAACTGTAGTCCCTACCAGAGAGGAAAGAATATATCATAAAACAGGAAACTGCGAGGACGGCTGTAACTCCCCTTTGACACCGAGAGCTTGTTGCAGCATTCGCAATTTCTCTCAAGCCTTGTGGGGGAGATGACTGTGAGGACAGAAAGAAAAGGAACTACACTCAGAACTTGTCAGAAGTGTTAGTGTCCACATTTGTCTTCAAAGATTCATGTCATTTTCTACTGTCTATTATTTGACTCAGTGGCTGTTTTTTGTCTGGGAGAGTACGGTATCATTCCCGTCTTTCTTTTCCCAACAACCTCAGCATGCTGGAGAGTGTGTGTTACTGTTAAACAGAGATTTGTACGGGGCCACTTTCCTACCAGGGGAGCTAGAGCGAGACGGGTTCATCACCACAGGACACATGAATCCGGTGCCAGGCTCTATAGCGCAGCATTGTGCTGTTTGCCGTATTTTTTCTCCACCATCTCAAATGGAGCTGTTCCAAATTGAAGCCCCAACTGAGAGCTCATGGTGGACAGAGGGAGAGAAAGTGGAGCGCACATCACAGCGTGAGAATGGTCTGCCCTGCCAAGGAAGAGGGACACCGAGGCCAGAATGACACTTTGAACAGATGACAGAGACCTCAGTGTTGGCCAACTGGGATCCACCAGAGGGATGGGTGATCTCATACAGGAAAGGGCTGTGCTGCCTTGCTTCCATTCCCCTGACAATTTGAAACAGACATAGAACATGCTAAGCAACATAGTCTGGTCTGATTTAGTGGGAATAGCAGAGCGCATACAATCACAGCACGTATGATTTGTGTCCTGCAGCAAAATATTTTATTGGCACGCGGGGGTTCATCCTCTTTGCATTTAAAATCCATTATTAATCCTTTACAAAAGAAACAGTTGATTTTGGAATGAGTGTCGACTCAAACCTTTTATTTCAGTGACTCTTAAATCTTAAAGATGCTCAATGATCTCGTCGCTTGAAGTCATTTTAGTTTGTTGAATCAAAACCTGATACCATATGTACGTCACTTAGTTATCATTTTACTGTTTACTGATAATGTCTTCCCCAAATAAGTTTGACTGTCATGGAGTCAGTCTTTGTAATCACAAAGGTTTTTCTTGTTATCTACTTTACTCTTGCATTTCTTCTCCTCACCGCATCTGTTTTCTGCACCTTGTAGTTTCTTATCAGCCGCCTCCTCCTCCTCCTCCTCCTCCTCCTCCTCTCATACGGTACCTTCTTACCACACCAGCCATGCTCACTCAAACATTTTGGGGCTTTTGCGCTTCGGCACTGACACATCCACTGAAGTTTCCCTAGAGACGAGTTCTCAGCAGTTGTGTTCATCCGGTGGACAGGTCTTTTAAAAACTACCTTTTATATCTTTTGTTCCTTCTGGACGTTAGTGAGTGACTCAGCCTAACTTCCATTTGTTATGTGATTGGAGAGCACTGCTTTGTCATCGGTCTACTCACAATCACAGGACTTCAGAAACATAAAGGGTTGCAATCTTTTTCATCTGAGTCAGTATTACTTTGCACATGTGATCGAATGACTAAAAGGGGGGGAAGTATTTGCCCTTACTCAAGCGTGTGGTCTCTTTATTCATTCAAAACATTACCTGGTGATATTTGATACACGGCTCGGGTCAGTTTTTAACATTATACTAGAACGTTGTGTCCACTGAAAATCCATTGTTCTTCAATATATGTGTTCAGAGACATTTGAAGATTAACTAGTCTTTGTTGCACAAGCACAGTGTCATTAAGTTTGCAGCTGTCTGTGAAGTAGTTTCATATAAAAGGAAATCAGATGTTGGAAAAAGAACAGACTAGAGAGCACTTACCTCCACCGAGGACCGACAGTCCCCTTATGAAACCCACTTGATCTACATTTACATTACGCACACACGTACATATCAGTCGATAACATAATGTCTGATGATCCAACAGACCTCTGAAGCTCTGTAGCTAATGATCTTTAGTTGTTGTAAATGTTAGTAGTTGTTTCCACATTGTAAGTTGCTGTACTTGGTATTCTGCTCATAACGCTGTACAGAATATTATAGGAAACTTTCACATAGAAGCTCTGATCCAGTTTATATCGTTAAGGAATAGATGTATATTGGCAAATTATTTTTTTGAGTATTGGAAGAACTGGATCAATAGCAAAAGAACCATCAGGGCATCACTACTATCTGTTTGGGTGTCAACTTCTGGTTATTTAAACTTTTGAATAATCAGCGTGTATGAAAAATCGTATCCCGGCAGATTTTCCCAATCGAAGATGATTTCTTTGGTTTTAAACAACCAGCAGATCTTCCACTTATAAGACCAAACACAGAAAAGCAGCAAAAACCTACATTTGAGAAGCTAGAACTAGAATTTGTTTGGCTCATTTCATGGTATATTACAAAGAGAGGTGAGAAGCTAATCCACTTGATTTATTTATCAAATGGCCCATGAAATTCAAGTAGGTGGTTTCAATTTGAAGAAAAATGTGCAAAAGAAGGGAGGATTGTTTTTCTCCATATCGTGTATTTGGTTTTGATTCTCCTCAGGTTCGCTTTTATTTTGTCAATTTAAGAAAACACATGCAAAGTTGCCATAACGTCTAACAACAAAAATCATTTGGATAGAATTTCCGTCAACAACGTACTTTAACAAGGAGCCTTGACCTAATGTTTGCTGGGATAGATTTCCCTCGACATGATTGTGAGTGCACTGTGTTACTTGTGGCCGTGCTTCGGGGAGTTCGGAGCAGCAGCCTGGTTTTGAATCAGATGACTGCGCATCATGTCCCAATAAGTGTCGAGGTCACATCTGCTCCTGGTGTGCCCTGACCGGTGCCATCTGCCTTCATGAGTCAGCAGTTTATGGCGTTAAACACAAAGCCATCGCTTAAGATATTGTCCGTCCATATGTGGGGCTCACAGATTTACCTTCCCCCCCATAATGCAAAACTACACTGAACATATATTTGGTTTTGCATATAGTAAGTGTTAGGCTCTCTCTCTCCATAATCTTTCTCAATCCCTCTTTAAATAAACTCATATTTGCTGTGCTCCTGTATAACTGAAGAGGAACAGTGCTTCATGCTGCTGACAGAGCCTCATTGTATCGAGTGTGAAATATGTGTAGGTGGCTGGATGCATATTTATTTCCTTTCCAACTACAGCCCTCTTTCAATTACAGAAATGAACCCCTATCCAACAGAGGGCTTTTGTGTGCTCACACTCTGTCTGTATAGGTTGTAATCAGCATTGTATTCCCATTGCATATGTTTGTGTTTGTGTATGCATACCGACTAACTAATAAATGGAGCGGGGAGCCCTGTTTACATTTATATAACACGGTACACGTGATGAGACTGATCTGAGGGAATGGTAATGCACTTTGTCTTTATGCAGCATACGTTTTCCTTTGTAAAGTTATTGTGACCAAAATATACACTGTTGGTGAAGCATGTTTTTAAACATGATTAAGTACAAAATACAAGCACTGAATATATGAATAGTAGCAATACAAGGAATTTATGCTAGTTATTGAATAGAGGGAAAATTATGTTGATCATTTAAAGATGAGAACAAAATTACACTCAGATAGAAAATGACGTTTTGGCAGATATAATTTCAACGAGGAGAGTTTGAATAAGATATAATTCAGTAGAAATGTATAGGTTCAATAAGTAATAATTGATAATTATTGTGTGTTTTTCCAACTAATTTTAGTATTTCTCTTTATTTTCTAGAGATTCAGAGGGTCGTAAGCTCTGTAAGAAAGTGAAGGTGGACCCAAGCTCCAAACATGCAGGAGCGGAGCTTCTACATTACAAGTGAGTAGCCAGAAAGTCAGCTGGCTGTCAGACACATTTCCACACACTTCACTGCTTTTTGGAAAGTAATAGAATGTTCGCAGCTTAAGAACCATGCTAGTCACTGTTATATACTCCTGGTGTTGTGAGCACTGTGCCTGGTTTGTCTTGCAGAGACGGGACGTTTCACATCGAGTACAACAGGCCTGCTACCTTCAAGGTCAGTGTACAACCCTGCAGTCTCTCTGCATGCGTCTTCAGCTCAGGTGCACCACAGTGGTTCTTTCTGTTTTTGGATTTGTCTTCACTGAGTCTGATGCAGCGTTGTGGCTGCTTGATCTTTAGGTTCTCTCCTTCTCCACCATGACCGAACAGATTCTGTGTGGGTTTTTCATTTTATAGTTATTTACTTAGACAGTTATTCTTACTAAAAATAGCTTCAGATTAAAGTTGTTGTCTAAAGTGGTTGAATAATACAGACAATTGTAAATTTACTAGCTCACAATTTGAGAGAAACTCATCACAAGGACATTTGACAGCGTTTGCTGTTTTCTATTTTTCTTCTGTGGGTTCAGCCGTATTTATTTTCTGACAGTTGGATTGGCCTCTAATACGTTAAAACACCCAAAGTCTCAGTTCAAACCATTTCAGAGTAATCTCAACAATAACATCCTAATCATTAAATATTTCAGCAGTGTGCACAGTGTCATTGTTTTGGTGCTGCCATAATGAAATATCTCCTGCCTCTGCAGACATATGGTTCAATATATTTACAGAACGTGTTACAGAGCCCATTAACAGACACTTGCAGGGCCTGGAATAGCTCTCACACATCTTGGGTGAGCAAACACGTTGGTCTAGATGAGCACCATCTGGCACTGAGTGACTTCTTCAACAAACGTGTAAATCGTCACCTGCCATCATCATTTTTCTGAGGATAATGAAAGCAAGAGTTGGCTTTGATAAGATTCTCAAAGATTCATCATTCTGACTTTCCTGTTGCTTCTCTCTCTGTTTTTCAGTCCATGGTAGCGTTCCTGAAAGAACCATCAGGGCCCCCACTGTGGGAGGAGAACCCTGAGGCAAAAGATATCGTCCACATAGAGACAGAGAAAGTAAGTACGGACCAGGCTCCTCGGGTGGTCAGATGAAATGTGGGAAATGGCAAAAACCTGTGAAAAAGTGGAAGAGAAATGGTTTCTTCCAATACAGTAATCAGAGTGTAGCTAGCAGTCAGTGAGCAAGTAGCTTCCTTCCCTACAATTTTTCTCGTAGAAGAAGCCAGACAAAATGGCCCTGTCTTCCAAGCGTGTCCATGTTTGCCAGCACCTCTTTTTTTTTTTTTGTATCGTTGACGTTATGGCACACAGAATGGCACACACAAAGCAGCATGTTTCTCCCTTGTTGGCACTGTTAGCAAACACACTTCGACAATGAAGACAACCACATACAGTGAGTAGCCGTCCAATCGTGGCCAGATGATTGGTCCTTTCAGTGTGTGCAACATAAATCGCTTTCCATCTCAATTTACTCGTTCGCTGTGAGATGGAATTCAACATTTCTAAAGTCGTACAGCGTTTCCCCAGCTCCAGGAGACGACAGTGAGATATAGCCGTTAATGCGATGCAGGATCCACCTCTCCTCATCTGTCCCGTTGAGCAATCATTGAAGCTGACACAGCAACCTGTCTACACCTGCACCACGAAACCCTTTAAAGCAACATATCAGGGCTCTGTCATCAATGGTCCACACAGCGTAGAGTTAATGAAGTCGGTGCTTACACCTAAAGTACATCTTAAGACAGCTCTCGTGCAGCAGGGTCAGATCATGGCGCTCGTTTCAAACCTCCCCCACACATTCACCTACAGCCTGACAACCTAAGACACTCAGAAATGATATAGTGCATTTTATAAGGCCCCTTTAGTTTAATGAGCAGCAGTCCTGACGGTGTCTACCCGCCCATCCACTCGTGCCTGGAGGCTTGTTGAACGTGTCAACAAACGATCATGCTGAATGTGGGTTCTTCTAGGAAGTAGCTGAGCTCATGCAGGTGATGACGAGGAGTAGAATCTCGTATGGGGGCTGAAGAAGAAAGTTGCTTTTTTTCCCCGTCTACTCAACAGTTGAGAATTAACTACCGAAGCAAAGGGGGAGGTGTGCTGCTGACCATAATGTATTCTTTCTCCCATGACAGCAAATTTGTAGTTGCTCTCGAATGTCCTGGGTGTTCGCCCCAGTGTTCAGATTCTGAAAGACGGTCACCTCTAACTTCTCCAAGGTGTTTGAAATCAAGCCTGTGGGCCTCATTTGAATTAAATACTTGTTGCCATGTGTCGCAAGCCTCCTAACTCCCTCTCTTTTCGGGCTTGGGTTCTGACGAATGCGGACATGGCTTGAGTCCATGAAGTGAAGGAATCAGTTATAGAAGTTTGGTATTCACTCTCAATAAACCTCAGAAAACTTTTCACAATGATTTTATATCACACTGTATATTTTATGTTTATGCATTTGTTTGTATTTTTCTTTTCAATATATAAAAAAAGATGCAGGTCTGCTCAAATCTTTTAAAGCTCTGTATAAAACTGAGCAGCGAGCTGTCTGAGCAATCAAGCTCTTTGCAGTCATCATGGAGCTTTAGTCAATAGTAGGGATGTCTCTTTCATTCACTTAATGAGGTGTAAATATATTTTCTTCATAAATAATAAAATATCTCAATCATTTTCTTGCTCATTGTCTCCTTCTCTATTTAAGGACTTCAGGAAGCTGCTGAAGAAGGAGGAGAGGCCGATCCTCATGATGTTCTACGCTCCCTGTGAGTCTTTTTGTAATTATCACAGTAGCTGATAGACTGATGTGAAGTTTTGTGATGAGTATCTGGGGAAACTGACAGCAGATCATATTGATGCAATAAGACGCCTCATTTGTAGAGAGAGTGTATGTGGATGAGATCAATAAACTGAGTTATATCTATAATTGCATTCATCGTACCTGGCAACACACTCTAGTCTACGAATATATACGACACAGCGTTTATCATTCGACGATGACTATTTTAATTTCTGATTTATAATTCTCTTTTTCAGGAAATTGTTGCAATAGCACATCGCCTGTCACTTGTTCCATTCACAGTTATATAAAGCAGAAAAATAAACAGCTCATCCTCACAGCTGTTGAACTGGAAACATCCTGTGACATTTTTCACCGGCTTAAACAATTTACAGTCAAACAATTAACCGATCAATAACAGCCAAGTGCCAGCCGACTGATTGTTTCAACAACACTTAGAGAACGAGAGTTAATTGTCTTGTCTCCTATTGTTGCTCAGTTGTAAACACATTACATGAGCTTTTCTGTGCGTTGTTCTCAGTACAGATGATCGACAAAAAACATTTTCCGTAGCAGATGATGGGAAATCCTTTCGCAGTCGTATTGACGCTAAGCTCTTTTGTAATAACATCTGTTGCTCTGTTGTGTTGCAGGGTGTGGCGTATGTAAGAGAATGCAGCCCATCTTCCAGCAAGCAGCCACAGAAACAAAAGGAAAATATGTAAGTCTGATTAATCTTCCTCTCGGACCCGTGGTCAACCGTCATATTGCGATTACCTCTTTATCTTTAATCCGCTGCTGTTCGTAGACGTGGAGCAGATTAGATGAGACGTGTCAGCGCTGAATGCCTGGATGGTTATTTGGCAACTTGCAAGAGTCTGACAGCCTGATCCTAAATGAAAGCTTTCCTTGTATTTCCTCCAAAACGTCTCACAAGTCAAATACCCCAGCAACCTTTGATTCAGCAGGATAACAATAACTCAGGTGGACTTTTAAGACAATGCAGAAGCCCTGATCCTCTTTCTGCTGGACCAGATATCTATGCTTAATCTGGGTTTTGGCTCGCATCGACATACCAGAGCTATTGCAGTACTTCTTTCAAAAGTCCACTAATCTTCCCCAGCAATGTGGCCTTAATGAATTTCAGTTTTATAGTATTGAAAAGATCCATAATCAGTGTCCATATTAAATGTGTTTGGTTTTTCACCTGGCACCTGCAGTCACAATTAAGGGCTAAGAAACTTCCAGCTGCAGTTTACAACCTACATATAGATTAAATGTCAGTTTAGTCTGCCCGGCCTCTGTGTCTACTCCCCAACTTTTCGTTTTCATCACATTTTCTTCCCCTGCCTGGTCTCATGGGTTCCCTAACGACCTGTGTGGTTAGTTTGCAGACAGGCAGTATTACAATAGCAAGCAAACCTGATGGGACTGATGTGTGAGGTCGTGCTCGGTTCCCAGCCGTAGAAATAGATTTTAACGGGACTACACAAAAGCTTCCAAAGGCCTGTGTGATCATCTCGTGAAACAAATGTTTTGCGCTCATAAACACTTCTCCTCGAGCATTAGGAGTCGACTGTGAACTACCTGCACAATGGGAGCAGAGAGGCGGCTGCCTGAGGAGCAAGTGAAGAGAAGTGCGCTTTACAAACTGTAAAAAAGATAATTTAACAGCATGTTTGTTTTGATTATGAGACAATGGGTATGAGTGCTGGAATATAAGGTGTTGGTGGTGTGTGTGTGTGTGTGTGTAATAAGTTTAGGGCGTTTGAGTGTTACTGCAGAGATTAACAGTGCGGCTGAGTCGTGAAAGGTTGGAATACTGAATTGATGGTTAGCCAAGCCGTAAACTTGTGAGCACATTTCTCGCCTCACTTTTATGGATGTAGGAAGGTGTTGAGACGATTTCGGAAAGTTTTGTGTCTCGCCAGAATGAAGCTGTTATAAACATTGGGGTTTGCTTTGATTCTGTCATTTGTGTGTGTGTTTTTTTTGTTTATTCTGTATTTTCTTCAAACTTAAATTACATAACAGGGATATTGTTGCAGCACACTGTCAAATTGAAATAGGTGGAGAAGCCACAGAGAGCTTGTTATGAATCGTAGACATGCTATGAGATATTTCTGTCATGAACAGGGTGTTGTACAATATTCTTTTATATGTTGTACTTGTTTGATTTATATCAAAGCAATGTCAGCAGAGAACAATATCTCCATGTAGTCATCATTTATTCCCCCACAAGCTGTGGTGCAGGTATTGGATTTTTCATTGTTAAGTCTGTCAGCGCCGCCAGCTGTAACTGTATCTGAGGCCGACTCTTACTCAGGATGTAATTTTAGGACTGGATCATCGCTTCTCAATAAAACATCACATCGTTCTCTCCCATCACCGGACACTGCAGCGAATGCCCCGATGCGAAAGTATTTCTTCTCTTTGAAGAAAATCACTTTTCGACAGATAAAATATTTGATCTCTCCGTGTTAAGCAGAGTGAAATACCACTGGACTACTCACGACTATAAAGTTTCCCACTTACATGTGCAGCACATGACAAAATATATCCAGAGCTAATGGCTAACCTAACTTAATCCTAACATGCTATAGACATTAAGTCTTGATGCTAATCAAATGTATTTAGTGATAAAATGATCAAAATAGATTCGAATGCAAACTTTACAGTATTTATGTCGTTTCTGAAATCAGGAGTTCGCTTATTTCTATATGGCTGAAGTGAATTTCTCATCTTCTGTACAATTAAAATGACATTCAAGTGTTTGAATAGAGCACACTCATCAATATTCATTAAATCTTTCCTATTTCACAGTTTAGTCTCTTTTCATACTTTGAATAATCAATCTTTTTATTTCAGAGCCCATTGATGAAGACAAATGTGTTTTGATTTTGAATGTCCTTTCCCTTTGTTGTCCGTCCTCCCTTTATTTTTTTTTCTCTACCTCCCTGACAACCGTTGTCTCCTTTTCCCCTTTGTTTTGTTTTTTAAGATACTGGCGGGGATGAATGTGCACCCGGCTGAGTTTGATGGCCTCAAGCAAGAGTACAACGTCAAAGGCTACCCGACCTTCTGCTACTTTGAGTGAGTCGAGTCCTCTCATCCGTCTCACTTTAGGCTCATTCCTCTCTTCCAAAGCTCGCAACATGAGAGTGGGGCAACTTCAAACAGGAGCCGCGGTCCAGGCCTCTTGAACACCAGCTGACATGATGGCAGCTAACTCGAAGCTTGTAAAGATGACCGTCAAGGTTGAGAACTCGCTTCTAACAGGTGGAAAGAAGAAAGTTTGTGATGAGCTTTGAGATCCTCTGGCGCTCCCTTTGAAAAAAAAAAAAAAAAAAGTAAAGTCTCAGGAGAGAGTCAAGGATTCTTGTAGCAGCTCACCGCCGTCATCACAGGGGACAAACTCACAGCTGGGGCTGTACAGTTCGCTTTAAGTAGAGACATGTTGTTGACATAAGCAACTTCAGTATTTTGATAATTGATTGTTCAAAGAAAAATACTTTGAGACAGTGCCTTGTTCCAGCCTCGGTTTTAATTAATTGCATTCTTCTTTGTCTTTTATTGGAGAGAACCCAGTTTATCTTACGGCTTTGTAGTTTTATTTAGACATAATGAGCATTTCAGAGCGGCCATCGCGGTGCTTCGTCTGAGACAACACATTAAATTGTGAGCAAAGTTTAACTTCCTGCTTAACGACCCTGGTTTTTTTTTTTTTCACCAGAGCCCTCTACTTCAGGAACCAGCTGTGCCTGTACAGCTGCCCCATTGAAACAAATGGAGAGGATGCATTTTACACACACGGAGCTGTTTCTGCTTAACAACTCAAAACGAGTCAGCAGTTTTAATTATTAATACGTCAGACTAAGTAAAGTCCTTTCGTTTATCGCACCAAAGTTTTCTCCATCTTCAAGAACCCCTTACGGTCACATGTGACATTGATGCAGCACTCGGCAGCTGCGTTTCTTTTTTTTGTGTTTGAAAGAAATTCCTGCCGTTGGTAATCTGATCGCTTCAGTTTGCTGTTAAGTTTAAATATTCACACAGACTCCAAACACACTTAGCTTGTAGCCATTTACACAGTAGGGGCTGGGAGTGTGACTGATGCTGTTTGTTAAAGCAGACCCCCCTCAGCAAGAGCATCCCTGCACTGTCCTCATATTTACAGTGTTGTTAAGTGTGTGTTGTGTAGCTGGTTCTCTCCATTGTTTGCTTCTTATTCCTCCTGCACTGGCTTTATCAAGCCCGTTTTCACATTAAACACTCTCTCATTCCAGTCTGGCCTTTTAATTAGACCGGGACTGATTAAGTGCCTCTGTGGTTAGTCGGTGTGTGTGGGTGTGTGTGTGTATTGTGTGAATGTGGGCACACACTCCGTGCACTGCACTGCAGTCGTGTGTAGCTGAGCCAGTCTGTTAGCCGGGAGCACATTAGTGTCAGTGCAGGGCAAGCTAACGACCATCCGAGCCCATTGGCTTCAGTAATGAGCCCCTCACTGATAAACGGCAGCTAATCACTGCAGGGTAAATCAGCATCAACGCCGCTGGAGTTATCTCGCCACTGCACCCGCTGTAAGACCAAGTGTTCAAGGTCTTTTACCTTTTCTGTCCTGCAGATTAAGAAACCTTACAGAACCAAAGCTGCACCGCACGTCCACTTTCTGTCAATTAAACAAACAATTTAAAACGAAACGGCTTCTTTGTTCTTGCTTCGTCCTTTAAGAACAAAATGCTCAAAACTGTCAAGTGAGCTACATTTATTTCAAATTTCCTCAACTTGATTTTACAAGGTTTCCGTGTACATTACAGCGGCAGAGATAAAGCAAGTGAATATAGAGTTGGTCATAAATCACCCTGATTGAATTCCAAGCAGCCGCTCTCCGCCACGGCAGTCAGTTCATTTTAGATGTAAGTTTTAAGCCCTGAATCCAGTGTGTGTATTCACGTATCACCTTTAATAGTGTCCACAGTGTATCTCTGGAGCCGTGGCGGCGGTCGTCTTCAGCCTCTGTATTCGCACAATCACACTGCCCACAGCCAGGCAGTACTGACACTGATCCTTCGGGCGCTGGGCTGAGCCAACACATTTGCTTTCCAGCCTACATTTAGTCACAGCCAGTAAAGCAGATAGAGTCATTCCTATGAAGGAAATCTGCTTACGTTTTGAATCTTTTCAGCTTGCAAGGCTGAGGAGATGCTTCCAGCTCATTTCAAATGCATTACGACGGGTTACTGGTATTTCTTATATGCTTGTTTAAGTGTAAGACATAAAAATATAAGACAGCGGAGGGAGTATCAATCATAACTGAAGTTTTCCTCATTAAACGTCTCTTTTTCGGTTTGGCTGTTGTGTTTCTAGAAGTCCTGACCCATGTCTTTGGAGGCTTGGAGTTGTTTTGGAGCTTGTCAGCTTTGATTAACTATGGATTCCAACTGTAATTCTGTTTTAATGGTAAAAACCAACAACAATAGAAACCACAAACCACGATAGCAGCATTATGCACTCCTCGACGATTGGTCCTTGGGTTTAAAACAGTTATTCATCACTAATTTATTTTTAATGCTTCTCTCGTGTTGCAACTCAGCCTCCTCGCAGCTCTGCATCTGAGCTGGTACACAAACAAACATTATCTGGGTCATTGTGTAATTTTAAGTGTATTATGCTTCAAAAGTGATTCGAGAATTTTTAAGCTTCTCAGACCCGAAGCCAGAATCCTGCATGTAGTGACCTTATAATAATGAACA